AGCCAACGGCCCACGCCGAGCCCGGACCCCCACTTCCCCTCCCCCGTCACAACCACTCGGCCCAGCCAACCTTGCCCCCACCCCTCAGTCAGCCCGGTTCCCTCTTCCCCTCCCCCGTCACAGCCAAGGCCCAGCCAGCCTTATACCCTCCACCAGGCACTGACCCTGACTCCTGGCTCCCCTCCCAGCCCCCCTGGGTACCATGATGCAGGCCTGGGTCTCAATGCCGCACAGGAGCACAGAGCGCAGGTGGGGCAGTGCCCCCAGCTCCTCCTCCACCTCCGGGACCAGCATGCTGAAGCAGGTCTTGGGGAACTTCCTCAGCCCCTCGGCCCCCAGCTCGGGCACCGTAGGGCCCAGCCCCTGAGGGTACTGCTCTGTCACCACCACCGGGATCTCTAGCAGCTGCGCCACCTGGGGAGTGGGGGGGGCCTGGTTAGAGCGGCGGGGGGTGGGCTGGAAGCCAGGATTCCTGGGTTCACTCCCTGGCTCTGGGAGGGGAGTCTGGTCTAGTGGTTAGAGATAAGCTCTATGGGAGGGGGTGAATGCTCAGTGTTATCATGAGAGTCTGGTGATTAAACCAACATAAAATGAAAAGCTCCCCCCCCTACAGGCCCCACCCCTTCAGGGGCAAGTCCCAACCCCTCCTAGACAGGCCCCCAGGGGCAGGTCCTGACCGGGGCAGGATAAAATGAAAGAACATGGAATTCCCACCAACCCTCCCCAAACTCTTATAAATAACAGAAAGTATTTCACAGGGTGCGAATTACCATCAATCCTCCAGGGTTAGGCCGCCACCCAGTGGCCAGCGTCTGCAACTGCAGCTGCCTAATAGTCCTGGCCCTTTCTGTCCTGTTTTCATCAGGACACTCGTAAACAGGGCCGGCTCCAGGCACCAGCCGAGCAAGCTCGTGCTTGGGGCGGCAGATTCCAAGGGGCGGCATTCCGTCGAATCCTTTTTTGTTTTTGGTTTTGTTTTGTGCTTCACCGCTTTGGCCGCCCCCGCAGGTTTTTTCTTTTTGGTTTACTGCTCCCGCCCGCCCTGTAGGGAACGGAGGAGGGGAGCGCCCTGCAGCAAGCCTGGCAGGGCAGCCCGCGTCCTTCCCTGCCTGCTGACCGGAGCGGCGAGGAGCCCTCCCGGCAGGCGGCGCAGCGGGAGGGGCCATGTGGCAAGAGCCCCGCTTAAGGAAGCCCTGGCCGCCCCCCTTCTCTCCGCCCCCCCCCCCCCGCTAGCCGGGGTGCGCACTCCGCTGCCCGGGGTCTGCAGGGCCAAGAGTCCCCCTGCACCCATGTTCCCACCGCCCCGCAAGTATTTTTTGTTTGTTTTTATTTTTTCTTTCCTTCGCTGCTCCGGCAGGCGGGCCAGTTTGTCGTCCCCCCTGCCCACCGCTCCAGCCGGGGGCAGGTTTGTTCTCCCCCCTCCCTGCTCCGGTCAGGGGCAGGTTTGTTTCCCGGGCCCCCCCCTTTTGCCGCTCCGGCCAGTTTGTCGTCTGCCCCCGCCCCTCCCCTTTGCTGCTCCGGCCAGCTGGTTTGTTCTCTCCCCCCCCCCCCGCCTTTGGCCGGGGGCAGGTTTGTTTTCCTCCTCCCTCCCCTCCCCCTTGCTGCTCCAACTGGCCGGGCGTTTTTTGCTTTGGACGGCAAAAAAGCCAGAGCCGGCCCTGCCCGTAAAGCGCAACCTCCCCCCACCTCCGGGGACATCAGCTGTCTCCTTGAGCCTCCTGGACATCACATTTCCAAGAGCTGGTTATACAAGTACCCCTCACCTGGTGTTGAGACATGGCCACCTCTGGGGTGGGATGTGGCAACTTTTTGACAGCTGCATAAAACAATGGGACAGCATCCCTTAGTTGTGCAGGGGGGCAGGCCTGACTGCCAAGGCACAACACCCAACCCCCCCCCAAAAAAAAAACCCAGCACCCCTATCGCTGCCCTGGGGCATTTCACCTTCAACATGCGCGCTGCCACAGCCACAATCTGGGGGAAGTGAGCTATGTTGGGCCGGAACTTCTCCTGCATGTCGCACAGGAAGAGGATGCTGGTTTTGGGAACCACCTTCCCGAGCCGGGCCAGCGCCATCTCTCCCCTGCAGCCAGAAAGAGAGGAGAGGATGGGACCAGATGGGGAGCTGATGCCCCCTGAACAGGAATGGCCCCACACCCCATTCCCTGCTCCCCTGAGCCAGCCAGTCCCTGCCCTGGGGCCGGATGGGAGCCTGCGCCCCCTAGAGGGAAGTGGCCCCACACCCCATTCCCTGCCCCCCTGAGCCAGCCAGTCCCTGCCCTGGGGCCAGATGGGAGCCTGCGCCCCCTACGAGGGAAGTGGCCCCACTGCCCCATTCCCTGCCCCCCTGAGCCAGCCAGCCCCCACCCTCTCAGGGACTCTGATCTCTCTGGGCTCAGCAGCTCCTGCGGTTTTGGGGGCCAGGCAGTGCGGGCTGGTCACGTGTCAGTAACAGACTTGCTTGTGCCCCAGTTAAGCGCTGGGGGGGGCAGCCTAAGCCCCCCCCCGCCCGCCTGGCCCGTGGGGCGCCCCTGGCTGCCTGTGACCCGGTTACACAGGGTCTCCTGACCAGCCCATGCCCCTGTGGGTGGTGGGTCCCTGGGCAGCTCTGCCCCCCAGCTGCAAACACCCCCAGCCCCTGTATCCCCTGCTTGCTCTACCCCACTCACCTCTATGCTTCCCCTAGAACACCCCCGCCCCAGCCAATCAGCAGCTGCTTCCCAGGGCCCCTAATTAGCTAAACCCTCCCTCGACCAATCAGAGACGCCCAAGCAGAGTTGGCCATGCCCCCACCACCTCCCTCCCCCGCCCCCGGCTCCCAGCCAATGGGAGCGCGCTGAGAGCTGTCCCGGCTGGCCTAAGGGAACGTGCCAAAGACCAACCCCCCTCCAGCCCTCCATCCAATCAGGGAAAGGAAGGGAGATGATGTACACAGAGGCTGGCCTGACAAAACGTTCCAAAGACCACGCCCCTTCCCGTCCCCCCCCCAATCAGAAAGGAGAGGGCGGGAATGACGTAAAAATAAGACGCGCCCTGCTGAAGGCTTCAAAGACCACGCCCCCGTGAGCTCCCATCCAATCACGGAGGGAAGAGAGGAAGGAGGGCTGACACAACGTTCCAAAGACCACTCCCCACCCAATCAGGGAGTGGATGACGTAGGAGGTGGCCTCTGAAGGTGTGGGTCGAGGGGGGGCTTTGGGGTTCCCTAATAAGTGGGTGATGTTAGGGGCGTGGGCTGCTCCATGGAGGTATCCCAAGGGGCCCCCCAGCACCTGTCACTTTTAGGGGAGGCGGGGGTTTCTCCATTCTCAGCTACATGCACCCCTTGATTTTGGGGGGCCCCTCCAAAACCGAACTCCTGGGCTGCCGCCCCTAGAGCCCCTACGTGACTAGCCCTGGCTGTGGGACCATGGGGGCATGGGCGCTGGGACCCCGCTTCCCGAGCCCCCCACGGTCAAGTGCCACTGGGGAAACTGAGGCTGGGGGCAGAGCCAGGCACAGATCCCGGCGCAGGGGGGTCCCTGCCCAGAGCTGTCCCACACACCCAATAAGCCGCCTGAACCAGGTTTGAGAGCCCCAGAGGGGTTGGGTGGCAGGGGACCAATTTGGCAGCCCAGAAGCACAAGAGCTGGAGGGAAGGTACCCCTGGAGCCAGGCTGGGGGGAACAGGGGGGGGGGGTGTTGGGAAAAGCTAGGCAGTGGGGCATGGGCCATAAATCACCAGCCAGGGTCACAGGAGACCCGGGGCTTATTCCCAGTTGTACCATTGGTCTGCCGGCGAACCCCCTCCCCGCGCCTCAGTTTCCCCATCTGTGAAACAGAGTTGAGGAGCAAAGCGCGGGTGTGAAAAGTGAGAGATTTTGGACAGAAAATCCAAAAAGCTCAGGGGAGGGGGCAGAACCAGTTCTTGGGGCTCCCCCCCCCCAGCCTGATTTTGGCATGAGAAGGGGGTGCGAAGCGGTGACCTCGGCCTGAAGAAACAGTCGCTCTAGGCGAGGAAGGTGTTGGAACCCGACCCAGCGGCCTTTTGTGCTTGGAAAAGCTTTCGGTCAAACCTCCCCCCGCCCCACGGCTCAGCACACGGGCACCCCCTTTGTGGGGGGCTGGGGAAGAGCCAGGGATTGTGTTAGCACCAGGGCCCCCCTGCCTATCCCCCTCTCAGCCTACCACCCCCTACACCAGGGAACTCCCCCCACCCTAAGGCCAGATTGGCAGGGAAAAGCCCCATGCCCAGTTCCCCACCCCCACGAGCCAGCCAGTCCCCCCATCCCCCCGCCCGCCGGCGCTGGATGGGAGCCAGTGGCGTCCCCACCCCCCATGCCCCATTCCCTGCTCCCCTGAGCCAGGCAGACCCCCCCGCTACAGATGGGAGCCCCCCCGCTACATACACCCCAATGACATTTTAGCCCAGAAAAATAAAGCTTTATTAGAAATTGTCCCATAGAAAGATGCTGAGACGCTGCCCGGGGCACCGCGGCTCAGACAGACAGACAGACGGGACAGAGCCCAACCCTGAGCGTGTAGCAGCAATGGGGCGCCCCATGCCTGTGCCCCCCATGAGGCAGAGAGGCCCTGGGTGGGTGGGGGCGGCTGGCATAACCCCAGTGAGGAGCTGTGTTGGGGGAACTCAGTGCAGGGAGGAAGCCCCCAAAGCCTGCCCCCCCTGTGTGTTCCCGGTGGGGGGGGGTTACAGGGAGACCCCCACCCCAATGCTTAAGGTCAGAATGGATTCCATTGGGCAGTTTCAGGGCCAGGATCCAAGCCCTAAAGCCTCAAGGAAAGGGCCTGGGGATCCAATACCCCAGTGTACAGAAGGGAAACTGAGGCACAGAGCAGGGGGAGGACCTAGCAGAGCCAGAGATAGAACCCAAGGGCCCTGGGACTCCACCCTACCCCACCCGCTTTGCATGTCAAAGGACAAAAGAGGGAGGGGCTCTGAGATGTGGGTGAAGCCTGCCAGGGAGGGCGGAGTCAGTGCAGCCAGAGGGGAGGGTGGCAGCAGGGGGAGGGGCCCTGAGAAGTGGATGGGTCCTGAAAGGGAGGGCGGAGCTTGTAAACAATATTCCTGAAGGCAGCTGCCATCTATACTCCTGAGTGTGACAGTGGTCCCGCCCCCTTTTAAAGGCACAGAGGAGCTACAGTAGCCAGGCTTGGAGGTGGGGTCCCCCTGCTGTGACGGAGAGCCAGGAGGTGGGACAGACAGAGCTGTGATGGGGGGATAAAGGCATGGGGGGGGTAGTGAAGGGGGCCAAAGTGAGGAGGGGCTGGTCTGGCAGGGTGCAGGGCAAGGTGGGAAGGGGAGTTTGGGAGGGGGTTGGGCAAGGGGGCAGGGCCAGGGATCTGGTGAGGTAGGGGGCAGGGATGTGGACAGGGCAGCAACTGCACAGGGTCATGGGGAAGATCCAGTAGATGAATGGGGGAGGTGGGGCTGTAGGGAGACAGACCAATTCTCCCCCCCCCTCCCGCCCCCAGCCCTGAGAATACCAGCAACTCATCCTCACCCTGGGCAACAGTGCGGTTAACTCAGCCCCCCCACCCTCACACACACACACCCCCATCAGGAACTGGAAGGATCTACCCCCCCAGGACCGGAGCTGGTATCTGGGTGTGATGGGGTGGACACGGTGGCTCATAGGGCAGGCCGGGCCCAGCGTCTGCACCCATCACCCCGGCCTCAGGCCCGGACCTGCCACACAATGAGATGGCTGCGCTCCGAGCGGCGCAGACGGGGGTTGGGCACCAAGAGGTCCCCAAATTGATCGTCTGTGTCGTCCCCTGCGAAGGGAGAGAGAGAGAGTGTCACAGCAGCCTCAGGGACGCCCCACAACCAGCGCGGAGCATGGCCACCTCGGGGGTTGGGCGTGGGGGCTGGGTATACGGGGACCCCTCACCCGGCGCTGGGATGCAGCCCCTCTGGGGTGGGGCGCTGGGATGCGGCCACCTCTGGGGTGGGGCAGGGGCTGGTTATCCGGGGACCTCTTGCCCAGCACTGGGATGTAGCCACCTCTTGGGTGGGGGCTGGGTATCTGGAGACCCCCGCAGAAGCGCCGTTTCCCACCCCCCACGAGACACGTACCGATCCGGAGGTTGATATACCCCTCTCCTCCGCTCAGCACCAAAGCCGTGGGCTGCTTCGGCCCAGCTCCCTCCTCACGGCTCTCACTGCTCCCGGCCAGCGAAGAGTTAAGGCAGCCTGGGGTGGGGGAAGACAGGCTGTTACCCCAGCACCCTCCTCGAGGGAGCGCTCCCTGCCTGCAGCTGAGCAAGGAGAGAACCCAGGAGTCCTGGCTCCCAGCGCCCCCCCCCACACACCTCCACTAGACCCCTCTCCCCTCCCAGAGCCAGGGAGAGAAACCAGGAGTCCTGGCCCCCAGCCCACCCTGTTCTAACCACTAGACCCCACTCCCCTCCCAGAGCCAGGGAGAGAACCCAGGAGTCCTGGACCCCAGCCCACCCTGTTCTAACCACTAGACCCCCCTCTCCTCCCAGAGCCTGGGACAGAACCCAGGCGTCTTGGCCCCCAGCCCACCCTGTTCTAACCACTAGACCCCACTCCCCTCCCAGAGCCCGGGACAGAACCCAGGCATCCTGGCGGGTACCTGGGACGCAGACAAAGAACCGGACGGCATCACGGTGCCCGTGGTAGGAAGCCTGGGCACTCTCCATCGCACAGTAGGGGGTGCTGGCGGGCGACGGGCCCAGCTGGCACCTCGCGGCCGGGGGGGCCTCTGAGTGCCCTGAGAACTCTGAAGAAGGCAGGAGAGACGGGGAGGGTCAGAGTTTTGGGGGTGTGGCCTGCAGAGACCCTGCCCCGAGCAGGCTAGCTGGGGATCCTCTGCCCCCCCGCCCTCAGTTGGGCAGGATGGTGGCCCCCCACCCATGGGATCCCAGAGAAACACACGCACACGCACCTCTCCCCCCTTCACACCAGCAGGGCTGGGCTGGCCGTGGCATCTGAGCCATGCCAAGGGGACCCCCTTCCAGCTCCCCAGCACCCCAACTCACCCGGAGCGAAGGGCACGGTCAAGACAGTGCCGCTGGCCGTGCCGATCCACAGTCGCTGGGAGAAGCAGCCC